CATGCAGTATTTATTATACATCAACGTTCGTATTATATATGTATTATGTATAGATATTACTAGATTGTTTCTCCATGCTCTTTTTAAGTTCGACTTTAAGACCGCACGTATATTTCAATGGTGTAAGGGTAGAATTTAATACGAGCTTTACAGCTAGCTAAAATATATACGCATAGTTTTTTCATTTATCGATACTTGCTCGTAACGATTGATTAATTTCAGGCAAAAGGCGACTTTTTCCAGTATGTTATTTGGGTCCTTTTTTGATTCTAGTAAGTAAATTTCTTATATTGCGATAAAAGTTATCGAAATAAGTTCATATATACCGATAGAGAGCGGATTTCGAAAGCTGAGAAAAATGAAAGAAAAAAAGAATGAAAAAAAGCCAGAAAAGAAGAAAAAAGTAAGTAAGGAGAATAAAAAGAGCTCATTGCGCATTCAGCCATAACAATGAGATCTCTCTTTACTTCTTGGCAGATCTCCATTACCCAGCTCATTTTCCATTTATCCAGTATATAGTCGTTTCGCGCGCTTGTACTCCAGCTAAGCCAGTAGAGCAGCAGCCGCCGCTTTGATCAATAAAGAAGTAAAGTGCAATATTTCCCCGTCGCAGCTACTGCTACTACTACCTCTGCTCCCTCCTCTTAACCTCCACGAACCTATTTATATACATACATACGTGTGTGTGTGTGTGCGTGTGTGCTCTCGCACCCATTTTAGATGCGCACGCTATTATACATACGGCATCTTTCTCTGCTGCAGACAATCTGACACTGGAAAGTCTGAGAGTGTGTACGGTTGCGTGTACTTGTGTAAATGTGTGTGCCCGCACGAGCCAGTCGCTGGTCCAGAGGGTGATAAGTCGCGATGTTGGGGGTGGCTGGGCGTGGCTTAGGCACCGCCTGTTCTACCCTCCATCTCTCGAAGAACTTACACATACAGATATGCCCGCGCACTTACACAGTCTAGTTCTCGCTCTACACTTGAATGTTTCCAGCTACCTAAGAAAAAGTCAGTGCAGCTTCTGCTCTCATGTATGCGCCGATTGCAGCTCTTTCTCTTTCATTCATATACACTCAGTTTACAAGTATATACAGATATATATTATCAATTGAGTGAGCTTCCCATTATGACCAATTATGTTGTCGCGTGCGCGCAACTACTCTTCGCGGTACTATGCCGTTGATTTTAGCTCTTATTGTCTCTCTTATTTCTCTTTTTTCCACCCAGTCAGCTAAAAACAAAGAAGAACGAAAAGTGAGCTACGTATCGATATTATTATTTTTATTATTATTGCCGCTTTTGTACCCGCACACATATACCAGTAACCGTTTTTACTAATGTGACTTGAATAATTTATTTCGGTATATTTAAATGTTTTTTGACTTTTTTCGCTGGATCAACAATTTTAAAAATTTTGTATCTTTAATATTGCAATCGCTTATTTTTTTGTTATTCGTAGACTCGAACCTCTTTCTCGATCGAAACTTTCTCTCGAGTCCATTGAATATGAAGTGTCATTCATTGCTTTCAAGATTTAGAATTTCCGCAGATAAGTAAAACATTCAAATCGTATAACCACATGCCTCGAAACTGATGGATAATTTTTTTATAAAAAATTGGTAATATGACGAAAATATCAAATAGTCTAATCTAAAGAATCTTAATATTTTGATATTACGCATGGTTACTAATCAACAGTATGGCTGATCAAGTAATTTATATTTCCAAAAAACCTATTAATTTAAATTTATTGAAAATTATTTTGGGAACTTGCATCTTTAAAAGAAGTTAACGTCTTTCTTTCTCTGCATCTACGGTACTTTTACATTTATGCAAATATTTACCCAATCGCATTAAAAACAATCAATCTAGATTACACCACATTTTATCAGAGGGCCAGTAAGGAGGCAAATCGGGCCCCGCAGGCTAGTATATTTTGAGTACTCATATTCTTTTTTAACAATTAGATCATATTCTACACAACCAAATAAATTTTTTTTACGTCTTTGGTATTTATGAAAAGCTTTAAATATACTTTAAATTATAAAAGATTTAAATTTTTTTTAGAAATATGTTTTTAATTATAATACTATTAAAGTTGAAGTTTTTTGTCATAATCGCGAGTAATTTTGACATCTCTGAATCCATAAAGGTGATATTAAAACGTTTAAATTTTATCTGAAGCTTTGATTTGAAAACAGATGAATTAAAAATTTAACTGCTAAAATAGTACGTCCCCACTGTCACCATTTTATGCTCGTTTAATAGACAGTTTTGTCCTTCACTTCAGTTCACTACAGGAACGAAAAGTTTGGTTTGATAAACCAAATTTATTGGTTAATTAGGAATATTCGAGTTAGGAAATAGGAATTTCGAGGAATAGTTTTATATTTTGAGTACAAGGAAAGTGTAATTTGTCCCCCCATACGAAAATTTTCTCCCATTTTATATTAAATTATTAAATTGTTCAATTAATACTGCATCAATAAAGTTATACTGGTCTATTAATTTTGTTGCAAGGTCCCACAATATTTTTGAAACATTTATCGGTCTTGAAAAGGTCAGATGGTCTCCTTATATGAATGTGGTGTTTGTTTCAATTTAGTAATTTAGAAAAAAATGTAATATATTAATTAAAAGAACGAAGGATACAGGAGCAATGATAAAAAAGTACTATATCTTGACATATACATTGTCTATTATTAACACGTGCAGTTAACTCAAGGGCTATCATGTGGAACTGCTCGTATGATTATGTATATATAACGGTGCTGTACTAGACTCGTATCCATATAGGTTGCATGACCGCGAGGAGGCAATCTCATGCAGTCGGCAGTAGTCTATAGAATGATCTTTACAAGAGACCATCAAAGCTCGTGAATCGGCTCTCTCTCTATTCCCTTTTATTCGCTAGCTCGACCGCTGCACAGCCATGCCAACAAGGTGCAGATAGCGAGCCCAAACCTCCTCTGCGCGCGTGGAAGACTCGAGATAATAAAGTTGATAAGGCCTGTATACGCCGAGTATATAGCTGTATAAGTGATATCACCCCTTTCAATAGAACTTCTCCCCACTACTTTGGAGCCGGCGTGCAGCTATAGAAGGCAAAAGCACGGCTTCTTCTTGCACTGCCTCACATACTGCTATACGCTATATATATATATCGAACGTGGTGGTGCAGCGACGATAGATATCTCGACGAGCGCTCGTATATATAAATAGGGGCCGGCGAGCAGGAGAAGGGCGTGGTCTTCGATCTCATTGGCCACGGGCTCGGCGTGCCTCCGTCAAATAAAACCCAATCACTCGGACCAAAGGAATGCGCTCTTTTTCGCGTCGGCCCGTTCTCTTTCTCTTATATGTTATGTAGCCCTCCTCGCTCTATATATACGCCACTATAATACGAGTTTACGCTAGCGGCCGAGCGCCCGAAAGTCGAGAGGGGTTGCCTTCGAGCGCACCACGCCGCCTGAGCTATACACAGCTTGATGCGAGTATGATTTTATTGCAGCATTACCGCTGCATGTGCCTCCTGAAGAAGAGAGAAGGAGAGAGACTGAAAGAGAAAAGCCAGACCACCCTCTATTATTATTATAGACTTGGCAATTGCTGCCTCATGATGGTCTCGATTATGTGGAGCTCTGCGACCGAGAGTGACTTGCTGTATAAGAAGTTTAAAGCTTCAAAATGAAGTTTGTTGTGCCGTATTGAAAACTTTTGTTTTTCTATTCAAATTGAAAGTATTGGTACAATCCTACTAATTTTATCTATTATTAAGTAGTAAGTTTCATAATTTCTAAAAAACCGCCGACTTTATCAGTGCACAATAAATTTTGTAGCTTGAAAATTTGATTTATTTTTATGTAATTAAATTTGATGATAATTCTTTATTTTTTTAGTGGCTCAAGCTAAATCGTTGATTCAAATTAATTTATTAAGAAATTCACTCATTATATGAAAGTCGGACATTTTCATTAATTGAATTAAATCATTTTCAGGAAAAAATTCATTATCAAAGTCTATAATTGTAATTTAAAATAAAAGAGCGAATAAATTAATTTTCCACCAATTTGATTACGGTTAATTATTATTTACAAAATTATGAAAAAATTACTACAAACTTCTTAGCAAAATTATTAGAATTAGTTCCCATGATATTCTGATAATTAGGCAATCTAGTATAAAAGTATCGAAATGTAAGCATCTATTGATTATTTGAGTCAGAAGATTATTACTTTGATAGGTATTATGAGAAAGTACCCTAACAGTACTAAATTGAAATTAAATATTTCTATTAAAGCTGCTATTTGAGCACTACTTAATACCAAGTAGAATCTGTAATATCGATAAACATGTTTGGGTACAGGTCTGAAACTCATCGATTGAAAATACATCTTGAAGCTAAAGCAAATACTTATAAATAAGTGAAACGTAGGCGACGGTGTATCGTCGAGTATCCCCAAAACAAAATCGGATATATACTCAATACACTACGTATTCCCCTTCAAATCTATTAATGCCCCGTCTGAAAATGTAACATAGATACTATGCTTAAGGCTGTGTTGTATACGGAGGAGAAACCAAGAAGTGCCTATACAACACATCATCATAGCGTGTCGAACATTCAAATATTTATAATGTCCGCACGAAAACGAGCCTCTTAATACATACGGTGTTGTATATGTATAGGCAGATATAGATATATCCGCGCGCACGCTGAGAAGTTAGGGGTGGTTTATGCATAGCCTCACGAGTTCACGCTCAGCAGTGGTCTTCGCTTGGGAGGGGATGAGCTCTCGCGAAAGTATATATCTCCGTCTTCGTCCTTGGGAGCTCAGAGCCGAGAGCCAGTCAGATCGTTCGGGGGCTGCACACGCGCAAGCCACGGAAATTCCAACCCCCTATCGCAGTAGTAGTAGTACTAGTAGTACGTGCAGCGGTGGCATGCGTACTCGCATGTACACTTTGGACTTTCAGTCGAGCCTCGTGTCGTGAGCTGAAAGGCTTCGTCCTGACAAACAGCCCGAGCAGCTAGCGTCGTGCGCGACTATTAACATTTTTAACTTTTTTCTACGGTGATTTGGTGTGCAGCTTATTCTCAAGTACTCACTCGAGTTTTTAGAGTGTTGTGACGTATTTCATGCGTGACTCGCGTTGGTCTTGACGCGTTTTAAGTTATGAAGCTTTCAAGTTCGGACATCGTTTGCGGGGGTGTAGAACACGTGAATTATTTTACAGTTGAGTGATTAAATAAGGATCGATCGACGCAAGTAATATATTTAACATGGATATTTGTGTACGAATAAGTGTACTAGTTTGAAAAATCGAGGATTACTGTCCGGTAATCGCAGAAGCTAATCTATAAGCGCGCGCAAACAACAGCTGCAAGTGCAGCGCTCGATGTTTCCCTCATCGGCGGCAATGCTAAAAAACCTCCAGCAGAGTGCCATGGCCTCGCCGTCGTTCCTCATGGAAAATCTGCTACAGAGCAGCAATGCGAGCTCGGCCGGCGGGCCCGCAAACAACGGGGCCGACTTCACGAGCTTGACCCTCAACTGGGCGGCGAGTCTGGTGGCTCGTCAGCGGGAGCGCGAAGCCCGTTGCAGCGAGAGCCACGAGCTGCGCGAAGCCGACCACTCGGCCCTAGAGGCCGCTTCACCCAGACCCATCCAGTTGAGCCGGCAATCGCACGATAAGCTGACCGGCGCGGGCAGATTATCGCTGGGTGACGAGCCACCCGACAGCAAAAGCGTCCTGCAGCTGCAGCTCGTCGACTCGGATACGGACGCTGCTGGTAGCGCGCTCGATCGGCTCAGCGCCATGGAGAGACTATCGGAGCGCATCGAGAACCGCTCGAGCTCGGCCATGGACTCGAACAACTCGATGGACGAGGACCGAGGCTCCGGGCCGGAAATGGACGCCCCCCTCGATGCAGCGCCTCCGCCGACGCGCTTTGCCGATTTTGCTAGGCAGCAGCAGCAGCAGCAGCAGCAGCAGCAGCAGCAGCAGCAGCAGCAACATCAGCAAGAGCTCAGATTTGCCGAGTCTGCTCGGGAGGATCGACTTTTATTGCTCGACGGTGGCAGCAGGATAAGCGAGGAGACCTGCAGTTGCGGAGACGAGCAGTGCCAAGCTGGTCCAGCTTGTCGACGAATCCAGCAGAAAGAGAAACCCCAGCTCAAATTCAGCGTAAATGCCATTCTCGGTGGCAATCACGATAGACGACCCAATCACGGTAATTAACTTATACTTTGATTATTCTTACTCACAGGCTGTCGTATAAAAGTTTATTCTATCCTTTTGTTCCCGCAGTATAGTTGTGATTTTGAACAAATATATTTTTCATTATTACAACTTCAATTGTAAGCATATTTATTTATGCAACAATCATTACAAGATGGTTACTTTTTTTGTTTAAAATTTGATATCTTCATGGAAAAATATTCAAAATTGAATCGCAAATCGGAGTACAGTTTGAACTAGCAAGGAACAACTTCATATGAGCAGTGAAAGCGACGACATAAGGGCAAAAAAATTTTCTTTACCTCCCAAAGTGAATTTCTTTCCACTCATACTCAATCTTGCTTCCGTGTATACACATCATCGTTCTCGGATCTTCGAAGAAAAAAACTTCCTCTTCTCGACTTGAGATGTACCTATATGCGATCAAATCAGAAGTAAGCCAAGCAAAAAAGCGTCTCTCGGAGCTTTTATGCAGCTCACATGCAGGTCCATGTGTGTGCGTGTGCACGTTACGTCTTTCTCCATCTCTCTGCGCGCAAAACAAAGCTTGGCCACAAATCAGTGTCGCGCACAGACTTTGTCGCTCCCTAAATCTTATCCCGCGTGGAGTACGGTATAGTGCCAAGAGAGCGAGAGAAAGAGAGAGAGAGCAAGAGAGTATATACTGTCACCGCACAAGACGGAGCTTTTCGTCGTCTGGCATATCGCTATATGTGTGCGCACTGAGAGGGTGATACAGGAGTCGAGCGTCAGCTGGTCCGCCACTTACCTCCGCAGCCGCCGGATATTAAAGGCCTTGCGGCTGATTGTGCTCGCGCGAGCCTAACGCAAGCCTATGTGTATATTATACAGCGTATTAAGATGAGAGAGAGGTCGTATTTGACTTGACGATTCGACCATTTGCTATTTTATCACTTCAAGCTTTTGTAGCATCTTTCCCACATACAATATGTGTACACGTGAGACGAGTTTTCTACGTTTATCCTTGTACGTGCGTTTAGAAGCTATAATATAATACATCGCATTTACATTTTATTTAATATAAGTGTCTTTTAACTCGGTTGTAACGTGTAATATATATAATTTAAATACATAAATAATATCGGCTTGCGAACTAAATTCTGATTTCATTGAATTTGATGTATTTGTAACGATGGATAGTATCTCATTTGACTTTACTAATAACTCGACTGTCAATGCCCTGATTACTTGATTGATGCTTTCATTAATATCAAATATGCTACGTATACCATTTTACGAATATATAAACTTCCCCCTTTTGGTACGGGACGTTATGAAAATAATACGTATACATGTTAATTGAAATTTAATACCTATCGGTGGCGTCGTCCACACGCGCGCTCAAAAGCACAAGAACAAGCTCCAGATTCATTGCGCCATCGACGCACGTAGCAAGTGCACGTAGAAATTAAAATGTTATATCTTCCACCAACATTTACACGAGTGCACGCAGCGACGTTTTTGATATAAATGACAGTTATAAGTTATAAATACATGTGGCAGATGATATATAAAACGCTCAAATAGTCGGCGCATATTAAATTAATTTATACGTGGATGGAGCAGCATATATGCGGATTTGCGGAAAAATCTCAGTGTATCGAGCTTTTTACGATGACAGAAACAGATTTTGAAGAAAATATACAATGCACCTGTCCAGTTTTACAAGCTGTTAAATGCGTGTGATTCGTTCGTACGCTGCAAATTGCGGATACGAGCGATCTATCAAAATTTTAAATAAAAATAAAAACATTCACATTTGTAAAGCTCGCTTGAGCTTTTGAAAGGTCGAGCCTTTTCAATATATTATAGCTGAGCTGTTGAGCCACGATGCAGCTGGTTTTAATCAAACATTTTCAATGACCATAAATACACGCGATATATGCCGAACTGCTGCGCGCCTGTGTGCGTTATAATTGACACGTGGCTCTTTCACGTACATTTTCCATTAAATCAACGAGGAGCGTCGCAACTGTAATACACGCATGTAACATTGCTCGACTCAAGTCCTGTTTATAAATACGTTCGATTATAAAATAATGCATTGTACATTGTAATAATCTTATAAAAATGACAAATTGGAAGAAATTATAATATTTTTAAATAACATCGATAGTTAAAAATTGAGTAAAAATGAAAAACGAGATAAAATTAATAAATTATCCCAGTATACTTTGAGTCAATCTTGTTGAATTCAAGACTTACAGGGTTGCTTACGATGCAATTGTCAAATTGCATGAAAAGCAAACAGGCATCCTGACATGAAAATTACACGTCGATTTCTGTTGATCGAAACTCGCAGACTAGCGTAATATATACTCACACTCAGACTCGTCCCTCTCGTTGATGTGGGCGAGGATGTTTTGCATCGAAGCTTGGCTCGGCGGTGCGACGCGCGTGGATGGAGCACTGCGTGTACAACAAGACAAGCTGATGGTTCTTGTGACTGCATATCGTTGCAGCGCACTTATAGCAAATATGCATATACGTGTAGTGAAACGCAAAACAACACGCATACATATGCATATTTTCAACGAAATAGATGCACTGAAAGAGTGGTGGCCATGGAGCTGTATGCTCGCGAGCACTGCATATAGACCAATATATGCATGTATGCAAGTGGACATACGCAACTATCAGCTCTTTTTCACGCTTCTGGCTTGCTTTTTCCACCCTCGCCAGCTTGTCGTTGTCGTCGATTCGATGCGTGCAGTTTACGTACAAATGCGTGCGCCTCCGTGTCCAAGCGCGTTATATAGATGTCAGTTGCATGTGTTGCCGTTGCTATATAACAGAAATGTCAAGCTTAACGGGATTTTTTCCTTGTCAATGTGGATGAATGATATAGTCGAGCGTGCGTATAAGCGCCTGGAATTATTCGAGGTTTCGTCGCGTGGTCATTTAATTGCGTGAAAAAAACTGCACCCACCAAGCCGATTTGTTTGAAGCTTTAAAATGAACAACTCATTAAAAGAATTAAAGTTGAATATTCATAGGAAAATTCAATTTGATCTCTTATCGAAAAATAAAACAATAATTATTACTTTTCATGGATTTGAAAAACGATACAATTAGTATGAATGACTGCAAACTGGTAGTAACGCAAACATATTTTTCATCTTCTCGCAATTTTGCGGATGAAAAACGTCAGATTATGATTGGAATACGGACGTCTCTTGGAGCTTATTGTCATCCTCAGCTTTTCGGGGTATAATTTTGACAGCATAAAACATAAATTAAAAGCGTGTCATTAATCATCGATAAGTTATATCCTCGATGGTCCCCAGCTAAATCTTCAAATACAGCACTGGCAGCCTCTACTGCAAGAGATCACTCATCTCCGTTTCTTCTCGGTATTTTTGTGCTTGCGAAGTGTAAGTGCATATGCGATATAAACAACTGTACACGCTCGTGCACGCCAACAATATGAGCTATAGCGCGTCAAATACTAAGACAACCTGCGTTATATGAATGTACGTACTTACCGCAAAAGGGAGCTGCCCTATTATTCTCTTTTTAACCTCGGTACGCAGCCACGCCCTGCGTATGCGTGTGTGTGTGTGCAACGACGGCTGAAAATAGCGAAATGTTGAACGCGCGAGATGAGCACAATAGACTTCGGCTCATGACGCTCTAAAGCCGCGCGCGTAATAAGACTCGGCGCGTATACATATGCACTCTATTATACATGTGCCTCACACATATATTTCCCATAAAATACTCATTGGATTTTATCGTTGTTTTTTAGTTCGTGGCCGGCCAATGATGGGCTAGGTACATCTCCGCCTTCGAGCTAAACTTGAGCCAAATGTTGTTACAGTTGCTCGTTTTTCGTCGCTTTTTTTTATCCTGAATATAATATAGCGTGTAGACACGAGTATCTATATATACAAACTATTCGGTGAGAAAACTCGTTTTGGATTTTTTACGACGGGTGGTTGCGCGCGCAGCCTCCACTCTTCCCTTTATCTCCCTGTCTACTTCTCTCGGGCTGCTTTTAATGGTCGAGCATGTAAATTCAAGGAGTTGGGCGATATCGCGTAAGCTCCCCTCCAAAGAAGCAGCTTGCGCGCTCATATTTTGCATATAATGCGCAGGATAATTTAGATACGTACTACATGCGAAGACAATATGGCGAAGCTTGGCCTCTGTCTCGGACTTATGTATTCATGCGGTCTTGAATGAAAATCAACGAAAACCTGAATGTTACCTACGTGAGGCGTATATGTGCAAGTACACGCAAGATTAATGATGCCGATGCTCTTTCAAAGTTTTACGCCAAACTTCAGTCACTCGATGAGCATTACGAATTCTTTATAGACATGTTTATCCACGAAAATCGTTAGTAAATATTTGCATAGCCATTAGTTGAAAAACTCAGCGGCATAATGGACACGCAGATTGGGAAGGTTGATTAATTATTACTCGTGCGAAGAACTCGACTTTGACTGCTCAATCGAGTGACAATCAAACGCATCATGTAAAAGCTGCAATAAAGAGCATGGATTTGAAAAAAAATCAATTGTCGCATTGGTTCGAATACGTCTTGGAAAAGATACAGCAGAACCGCAACTCGATGCCCAAAGAATTGTGAACGACCAGTCGCATTGACGAGTTTTGCCTTCGAGCATTCTGTGCGCGGATATCGAGTTATTTTAAAGGATTACAGGAGCTCGCCTCGAGCAGCCTTGAATATATTGTATATATTTATTTTAAATAGACTCGGCACAGCTCCAAATATTTTCCCCCCGCCTCGATGTAGATGCTACGTTTCAACTTTCGCATCGTCTTGAATTTTTACAGCTTGATCCGCTCGACGTGTACGCACACAATTAGATTGTCTTTTCGGTGATATGAGGCGTGAGCATGTTGTTTTTATCGTTTTCATCATCATTATTATTATTTAATTTTTTCATCTCACTACAGTCCCTTGCTGAAAATGTTTGCTTTAAGTTGTTTTCGTTTGGACTTAGTACTAGCCTTTTGTATGACGAGCGCGTAACAATGCAGCGATGCGCGCGCGTGACTGAGCTATGCATATAGTCTGGCTGCTGGATGAGTTATTTTTTCTTTCATTTTATTTCACGAGCGGTTGCACGCGGCGCCGAGCGCGCGATGATGTTTTTTTGATTGAGCTTCAAAATAAACAGTAGCTCGAGAGCAATGACGTTTTATTGGATGAGAATACACTTCTTTTCTAGTGATTGTCATGAATTCGAATGATTTTTATGCGCATTTTGCATTTGTGAAAAAGAAGCTAGAATTTTCATGAAATTCAATAAGATTTCACATAATGTTTGAAGTTTAATTGCAGTATCTTTAAAATAATTTTTTGTGTTTCAAAGTAACTCCTCACTAAATCTCTTAATTACCACGAACATAACAGTGATATATTAGTTGGTATATTTGCATTACTGCATAGGCGCGCGCGCGCGTCACGGCGTGAGGCGTGAAAATTAATCGTTTACCTTGGGTATAGTTCTGGAAAGGATCTTCCTGTTCGTTAGGCTTTATGTAGTTGCTCGAGTGGAAGGACGTCGAGAGATGAAATACCTTGCCATTTTCCTTTATAGTCCTACGAAGAGAGAAAGAGAGAGAGAAAGCTTGAAGCGCCTTCCAAACTGCTGGTATACGTATTACCGAGAAGCACTACACTAGTAAAGAAATTTAAATGTTTAAGCTTGAAATTATCGGAAAGACGCAGACAAGTCAAAGCCATCACACTTATGTAAATATAACAATACAATTAGCGAACAGCAAATATATAGTTTATATTTTTTTATAATGTGAAATTTTGCGTATGTCTTTGATATGTAATTATGCACTGGTTGACGTATTAATTATTTCTATTGCCATATGTGACAAATAAATAAATGAATCAAAATAACAAATACTATTTTTTCTCAACTTTTTCATCTATGTTGCAGAACACTTTCAGGGCATACCTCCAGGGGCGTTGCCTGCATTCTTGCACAATCTTCAAAATTCAACGGGTTACAGCATAGCTAAACCTATACCGAGGCCAGCTGCTTACCATCCACATCATCCTCCTCATCCAGGCCATCATGGGCCGCAGCAGCATCACTTACCACCCAATGCTCATCATACCCTGCATCAACTACTTGGCTGTCGAACTCCTTACCTGACTGGTTAGTATATTTAATAGTATAATTACAGTTAAATTCGATAGAGCTAGCACAATTATCGTAGGAATGTTAGCAATATCTCGATCATTTGGATACACAGGTCATCCTGCATAAATTCTAATTTTTTTAAATTTGGCATCTTCATTATAAACGAGTTGATCGGAGGTGACCTATTGATGTGATCACCGCGACCAAGATTGTGTGTGACCGCTTGATACTTCGAAGGAGTATACACTAACTGGGTACTGTAACTCAATTGGATACCTTTGAATGTTAAGAAAAGTCGAGGCATTGTTAAAAATATGAAGCGTCAGGAGATGTAAAAGGAAAATATTTGAATACTTAAACTACATGAAAAAGACTCACAGAAACGACTGTAATATTTCAATGAGAAATCAATATTTTCAAATTTTAAAAGGTGCAATGATATTATAAGAAAACAATACCACATCTGAATAATTAAAAAATAAATTCCTTTTAATACGATATCAAGCTAACTAATTGATTAATAAAAAAATTTGATAGAATTCTGCAGAAAATCTCCAGAAAAGCTAAATGAACGCGAAAAGTTATTTGGCTTTTCATTTCTGATGTGTTTATGCAATGGTGTTATGTAGTTTTTATAGAGATCATTTTGGCTTTTTTATTCTTTTTTTTCTTGGTTGAATTTTGTAAAAGTTGCACTTTAACTGCTGTTCTCATTTTATCTTAGTTTAATACAAACATTGCACATTATCTTTCAATAAAACTAAACTTTTATATTGTTTCGAGTGTACCTGACAGATTAAACTTTTACATTTGAGAAAGGTTTTTATGAAATATTCCAGTCAATCACAGTGCATGGAAAGGCATTCTTCATGCGTTTTAAAATTATTTTTTCGAGCAGTATTCTAAAGAAATGAAAAAAAAAATTGAAATAAATAAATACAAAATTTATAATGTAGAGCTGATAAATGATTACCAAACAAGCGGAGAGTAGAAATAACTCATAGCTCAAACGGATTGCTATCTTTTCATTATTTTCATCAAAATGTCGAAAGGAAAAATATGTGAAATTCGACACGTCCATCAAAAGCATTTAAAGTGATTGCTCGTTGACGAACGTGGATGCGTTGCAAACGGCTCTATATTATAACTATATCGAATCTCATATTATATATTCTCGGAAAGCGATCGCGTACCTTCATATAAGTTCACGTACAGATACGTGTGCCTGCATACATACCTATATCGCTTTGATGGAGTATATATGTATAGGACCAGAGTCATCTCTGGTAAACAGCCTGAATAAGCTGTCGTGCGCGCGTGAGCTCGTACATAATGGAGGCGAGAGCTTGCGTTATTGCACGTGTACACGTATATACGAAGAGAATGAGAGAGAGAGAGAGGCAACAAGTGCGTGGAAATATCATCACGAGCTGTATATAGCAGCGGCTGTTGCTGTTGCCTACAGGAGCTTCGATGATACAGGAATACTACCATGCACCTCTGCGAATGTATGCAAGCTCGCATTGCCTCGATTGACCGCCTGCATACGTGCGAGCTGCTATTGCGTGAATGCAAACTAAACGGCAGCAGCACATCCAAATGGGAGTTTCGCACTTGTATAAGCATATTTTCAAAGCAAACCATGCCCATCGAATCTGTAACTTTTTCACGCTTACACGCATTGTATTCTTTTTGCCTGATCTGCTTCGTACGCACAAAGCCGTCAAACTATTTCATCGGCAATTTTGCTGGCGATCAACCTCGCTATATTTTTCGATTGTTTCGAGATTCAATTTATAAATATATATGTATGTGAAAATTGAAATATTGTATTGTATCCCTTGTAGTGGCAAATCCAGGTGGAGGCAATCACCAAATTCCTGGCAGCGGTGCCGGATTCCCGAGTGCCATGCAAGCAGCGAGCTTGGGCGATCTCACGGGCATGAGTCTGGGCTTTCCTTGGGCCGGCAGCGCAAGAGGCAAGCCTCGACGCGGCATGATGCGTCGCGCCGTCTTCTCGGATCATCAAAGACGAGGCCTCGAAAAGAGGTTTCAGGTGCAAAAGTACATCAGCAAGCCGGATCGCAAAAAACTCGCGGAAAAGCTCGGCCTCAAGGACTCACAGGTAACATATATGCCATACTAACACCCTTTGTGAGTTTATTTGCTTACTACAATGTATCGAAGCGCATGAAAAGTTAATAGTTATAGCTTTATATGCTCGCAGTTAGAGTTAGCTCGTCTACGGTATTTAACGAGCTCGAAAGAGTAGCAATAAAGCTCTACGCTCGGATCGCATTTAGCTGCCATTACGCTCCCATTCACTGACTCGAGCTGAGGACGACTAATATGTTGCTTTTCACGATCGTACGTATACGTGTACGTTTATTTGAAATAAGTCCTTAGCGTACGTTTACGCAGCATGTATGGAGGTAATTTAAGCACTTTAGCTAGCGCGATAAACACGTTTTATTTTCGCCTATTGACAATGAAATTCGTACAAGCATCATTGTATTTGACTATGATGATATTAATCATGAATTCAGAATTAGGTGTCGAAATTATGACATAGAGATTAGATACAGTATATGGAAATTATATATATACGTATCAAATACGTCGACTGAGCGACCATAGTGAGCAGAAGTCTAATCGTCCACTGGCTAGTTAGTGCCTCCACAGTTCATTAGTTCTCGGACACCAGACAGCCCAGGAGGTTGCCAGCTCAGCCAAATCTGCATGTCATATAGTCGAATCGTATGCACTCGCACTCACATAAACACATATCATACGCTACATGTATAATAAGTACATTGTATGTATCAAGCAAAATTATGTAGCGGTGCATTACTGTGCAAGCACATGCAATTCGTTCATACATGATATGTAGATCTTATAGCGCCAAGGAAAATAGATATCTTGACAAAGTTGAAGTAGTGATTCGAACGTTATGATGGTTTTACACTGATGGCTTAAACAATATGGATTAACATTTTTGATGTGTAATATAGTTATAAGACTTTATCAAGAAGTAAAATATCTGCTCAACGGTTCGATTTCATTATTTTTGGAGCATTAAATGAATTCGTTGCGAAAACTCAATTGACTATGATGCCTTGAACAAAGACTAATATAGCTATCGCGCAAACTGCCCTCTCCTCATTACCATGTCCACCAATGACTTTCAATGAAGTACACAGCCGTTGCTCGATGTTTCAAGTTTTCATTAATACGTTTAGATCCCAAGGGTGCGATATGACAAAACTTTCCGCTACGATAGAAAATAATCTGGTTGTTAATTGTGCAATGTTTCGGTCGTTTTTACTTAAACTTGAGCTGTTAGGTAAACAACAACTGAGCGATAAATCACGGCAGCGCAGCTTAAATTATTGTCTTAGTTAATGGGTACTTGTACGTCCCATTAATCTCTCTCGTGTCATATTACGAGGTTTAATTAAAATTTTGAACATATAAGTAGTCAACAAAGGCTCACATCGAGTTGTACAGTTCCTGATTAAAACAGTCATTAGAAATACAATAACTTCTATACCAAATGTTTCAGGGAGCAACGGATGTAAAATAATTACTTATCCACAATGAGGTGTCTGATTAATAAATAATCAGCCTGAAATCACCTCTCGTACATCCAATAATGCGCGAAAATTGTGTGACCTACAATGTGTATACCTCTACACATCACGTAGTAGTTGACCGCACGTTTATGCGCAAATCCATCATTTTTCTTCACCATTGAGTATGCAATTATGATATTCCTGAACGCATCGAAATTTCGTCGGCACATGATATCTGTATACACAAGCAGTAGCCATTTCTGACTCTTTGATCGAAATTGAATTTAATGAGGCTTGCCCGGCCGCACGCTCATATGTTATTAAACACGCTATATAATGTTGCTGGCACAATATATCGTGCTTCGTGCTATGCGTTTTCCGCGCGAAAATTAGCCCCCCAAAATTGGTAGTTCATTACGGGCGCGTACGCGGCACGGTATTTTGTGCTGCAGCTACGCGCACACATTATATTATTCGCGAAAACGCGTCATGAATTTCACTGCTCTCGGACGTTATGCGTCGGGAAAATTTAACAGTTTCGACGGCCATGATTCCTCTTCATTTTACATCCGCTCACGTGTCAGGCGCATGAAAAAAGTCACTACGGAGATGCGCAGCCTACCTACCTTATAGGAGCGATAATTACTCGGTGGAAAAGAAATGAAATAAAAAGTATGAGTAGGGGGAGGAAATAGAAGCAGTGAGACGTCAAAGTTAGGAAGTAAGTATAAGAGATGAGCAGCAGTAGGAGTACGCCTCGGGGCTGCTTCGCCGTTGTCTTTCGACAATTTAAGCGCAGGAAAAGAAAAAGTAATCGGAGTCGACGGGTCACGTCAGGCTTGTCAAGCTCACGCGCAGAGCTTTAAAATGCGGCGCGCGCGCGTGGCTGTGTTATACGCTCTTAATTTGCGCTCGTGCGATATCCGCTCCGCAAACAGTTCGAGTCCGCCCATACAACGCACTTTAGCGAACGCGTTGGATGCTTACTCTTCCTTCCGGCGTTTCCATAACTTTAAACTCTCTGCCTCTCTTGGCCCCCCCTTCTACGGACAAAAATTGAACTTTTTATTTTCCGATGCTGCGATTTTTATCTAAATTTACCGAATACTATTTAATTATACCCTTTAAAAGTGGCTTGACGATCGTACAAGATATACATTTTCGTGGTTTATGAATTAAATGACCTTGATTGAATATACTCGAAGTTGTTGCTCGAGAGAACCAAGCAAATAATAAGAGAAACTTGAATTGTACAAGCAGAAGAAAGTAAATAAAAAGTAATAAGTGCTTCCCCTCGGTCGAGTATCAATCGGAAAACATGAAAAACGAACTAATTGCTACAAATTGATATACGTAGGCAAGAACGTACGCATATAGGTATACGTAAGCTATTGACATTGTATCTATCTGTCTGGCTCTAGAGAAGGGCGAAATTTCCTCCCTGAACCTGCCGGCTCAGGTTGGCTTTATAGATAGCGGAGAGTAACACGAGCCCTAATGGTCGATCTATCTGCCAAGTGTCAGTCTCAGCGTTGTATCCTGCGGGTCGTTGTCGATGCCTCTGCTGCTGCTGCCGCTGCTAAGCAAGGTCGAAGTAGGGTTGATTTCATCTCGCGCTTGGTGGCCTTTCCAAAGCGGCTGTGGCTGTGATTGTGAGATTTTTTTTGCCACGACTGCCTTACGTGCGCTGAACTATTCTCGGTTTTACATATTGAAAATAGTCATATAATGTATTGCCATAAAATGTACGATTTGGGCCCGAATAATAAAATGACACAGATTAGTGGAAATTGGGAAATCGAATTGCGACGATGAATAACAATTATTCAAGTTTTGACAAATTTATTCATGCAATTTTTATCATCCGAGTACGTTTCACAAGATGGAAAATTGGATTAAGCCGCACTCGCAGCCTTATAATTCTCGAGCTATGATGAAATATTTTCAGTGCAGCTCAGGCGGTGTGCGCACATCTCCATACCCATGTCATGCTGCATATTAAAAACAAAGGGCTGCTGCTGCGGTGTTGGTGGTATGGTCTCGAGAAACGAGGAAGGAACAAAACATGAATACAACGGCCCGGCAATATTAGGTATAATGCAGTGTTCGCCGCAGCGCCTCGTGGTAACAGCAACGGCAATCTCTGCACATCTCTTTCATGCATTATGGATCTTGGCGAAAATCTCATCTTGAAGCTCGGGTCGCTACTGCTAGTGCCTCTGATGCTCCAAGGAAACCATGAATATACAATAGCTTGGCGTCGAGATGATGCATATATTGATTTCTTTTTCTCGCAAGGACCAAGTTTAATCACACTTGGCGTACGAGTCACCTGTAATAAGCGAAAATAGTTCACTATCTTTCGGTCCAAGATAATCTTTCACGCTTTACTTGTGTAGTCAATCAAAAGTTTTTCAAATTTGTGGAGGTAAAATTCATCGACATCAATTATGCTGAAATGATTATTAAAGTTATTGTAAAATGTCGCAATATAACTTTTGGCGTCGCTGTACGACACGTCAATAAATCAAAAGCAAAAAACTGGAGCTTAAATATATAAGTGAAATTGCGCGTCCGCGTGACAAAGACAAAACGCCGTGGACGGAATATAAAAAAAAGAATATAAGAGGGCAGATCGTGAGTAATACGTACTATGGTATCAAAGAGCAGCAATTCGTACATTATCGAGTGAATATGCAATATGAAAAACTCACACATATATATATATACTATACACGGTAACTGCCGCTTGAGAATGCCATATATTCGCACATATAGGTATATGTACTGTCAATTCTCGGTTATCTCTCGCTCGATGTCGCCCCTTCTTACTTGAAATGACTGTGACCACTCTGTGAACCTTCCTTTATGCTCGGTCAAAGCATCCTTTTTTATTGTAACATTATAAGTTCGTGTGAGTGTTGTTTCTTCAGCTGCATATTTATCCGTGGCGCGAGTCGAGCTTTCACATTTGCATTGCTACCCGATTTGCGGAAAATCAATGATTGTTATTCGATGTTTTTCTTTTTTCTTTTATTTTTAATTTTCTTAAAAAATTTTCACTCCCATATCCAGTATAGTGATTTAAAAAAAATAATCGTCATGTTTTCACAGATGAAACTGAACGTTTATATTTAAGCAAAAAAATCCGAGAGATTTAGAAAAATACAGAATTGTTAGAAAAATGTTTCTAAAACATTATGTAGTCAAAACAGTACACATTTTTGTCAAACTATATAAGTCACTAATATTATAATTATTATTCAAAAAATTGAAATGATAAAATGTGTATGTAGAAGCTTAAAATAAAAAAATTTTCTCGCAGACATATGATATACCTAAATATTGGAAAAACGATGAATATCAATGATTCTAAACACGTGATCCTCACTCGCGATCATCTCAATTATCATGATACCCAAATATTTTCCTAAATAGCATCAAGTCTACCATTCTGTCATTTTATCATAGCTTTCTTTCACCCTCATATGTGGGGGCAGTTACCTTTGCTGCTACTTGTGACTGGAAAAAGCACTAGCAGCAGCGGCGTTGGAGGCGGCACAGCCTGCGCGAATCCATGTTCTATGTTATTTATATACATATATAGATATATACGTGTGGCGGTAGTTCTCCACGACGTCATAATCGATCGTCTTTTATTAAAGTGCGCCAGATGGCGACGGCCCTGACTACTCCTGGGTATTATATATATATGTGTATGTGTATATATCTATACCTACGCACGGAGTCCTGAAATCGCCTCACCGTCTCTTTGTATAGTAGGTAGTGCCTCCGCGCTGCTAGTGCTGCTGTTGCTGCTACTGAGGATAAAAGCCAACCACAAAAGTGCGTCTCTCTTTTTTACTTCACTAGAGGAACGAGTATTTTTTCGGCCTATGCGTCAATTGTTTTTCTTTTTACGCAGACGGAAGTTCGAGTTGTAAAATGTTTTTTCAATTTATGATTGCATGCGAAAAACGTCTTGTTTTTTCAATGGGCGTACAAATGGTTAAGCGTGAAATTTTCGAAAAATGTTGCATATTTTTCGAAACAGTTGGTGAGGCTTTTCACTCAATAATTTTATCTCATCGTCCTCGTTATCAAGTACCAAATTGCTTATCAATCATAAGCCACTAATTGATTTGAGAATTATTTCTCTCTCTAAAAATTTAGAAAACATATCACTGAGTACAGCCAATGATTTACCGATTGCTCATTCCTTGAAGCCTTGTTTTTAGCTTACTTCGTGGTAAGGAATTTACCGTTGTACGATCTTCCGGCTGTATATGTATGTATAGAATCACGAGCCACCCCTTGGTGGTACTTAAATCTTTATCCAACATCGCCACAAGTGAATCGTAACGGCACCACGTGTCTTGGTCTTGAAAATAAAAGGGCAAAACGATTAGGCTCGGAACTTTTGGAAAAGTTTACTTATGAATTTGCGATTGCATCTTTTCCATGGTAAAAGCGAGCCTGTCTCAAACGTAACTTACGTATGTCTCTCTCATCCTTTTCACTTTACTCACCAAGAGCCATTAAAAAAGTTTCATTGGACCCGAGAACTTGGTTCGTCGCAATATAGCACTCAAAGCTTTTTTTGATTTATAAGATGTACGCCTGCGTGTATTAATGGAGGCTAAAAGTTCGGTTTATTGATTCATTGATAAGCAATATATTTTCCAGTATCTATTATACATACGTTTAGCATTTTGCCTGTCAATTAAACGTGCCACGAACTCAAATCCAGTCGAGAAATCGTATGCATATGCGTACAAACAAGTAGAAGAGATTTACGAACAAATATAATATCGATGCTGAACTATAAGAAAAGGCAAACGTTCGAATATTCGACATTAGACTGTCAAGCATATATAGTAGGTATATAACAATATACGAACGGGTGTGTTGGTTCTCACGTACACATCGTAGCATATAATTTCGAGATCACGACAAGCAGTTTGTAGGGGGTAATACTGCGGATGTCGAAAATCGGATAATATCCTTGGCATTATCACCGCAGACACTGAATCGCAGACGCGTCTGCCGCTGCCGCTGCTATTGCTATTGCTTATGATCTCTTAGCTCGCAGTCAAATGGCCTTGTCTGCTTACGCGTATATATGCCAGTCTCAAAGATGCGGTGTATACACACGAATTCGAGAGCAAATGCATGCGGCCTCCGAAGCAGCTATGAAGTGGATAAGAGCGAGTACATCTTGCGGTTAAAGCATAGCAAGGGTATGCTGCGCTACGACAAGCTATATACCGGTGCGCGTATCGTCGAAATTCAATTTTCGATGCTCGCTTCTCTGCGTGGCCCGAAACACGCACTTTGCCCTCTCCTCTCTCCCTTTCTCCGTGCCACGCTTATATACATCCAAAGCCGCAGCTTATTCCGATTGAATCGTGGCATCGCCCGATTGCTGTATGCTGCGACGCGACGCCTATTCGTGCTCTACACATTCGCTACGAGAAGGCATCTTGATTGACAACGAGATCGAAGCTTGTTTGACTTTGACTCTCGAGCTTTATGGGATATGCGATATAATGTGTGCGCCGTTAGCGCAATGCGTGAAATGCGATCGGATCTTTTTCTCGCTTTTCCTTTATTCTCCCGATAAAATTCTTTCATCAATGTTCGAAACATTGAAGATTCGCTGTGCATCAAAATATCTAAAAAACGAGCAAAGATTTCTTTCTCAAAGAGAGAAAAAAATTAAAATCTTTAAATTAAATCATTAAAACTGTTCGCTGTCATAAAATTAATTGTTTGACAATAGTTTGCGAATTTTATAGACTTTTGCGGTGTACAGGTAATGCTGCATTATTACTGGTCCACGCGCGAGCATAGTAGGTCGATCGGTAACTCACGCTGACCTGTCACTGACGGGATAATCGATCAAAGCTCATATAACTTAACTGCAAGCACGCCTCGTATCTAATTGCACGGCACTACGCAAAAAGCTCTCACGATAGTATAACCAAAAGATCGAAAAAACTATACTGCGCGAGTCATACTGTGTGCATATCGCAGCGATGATCGATGCTGTGATGTTCGCGTAATGTTTTCTCGCAATTGACCATATAAACTTTCGAAATAATTCGAACTGCTTCAAATGAAATTCCACGAAAGTCGAAACGAATACATATGCGCAAGTATATCATGAGCCGACTATTTAGCAACTTACGAGACAACGTTTATGTATGCATACGGAAGTGGAGAGGAGAGAGAGAGAAAGTTTAGCAAAGCAACGTTGTATGGAATGAAACAAACCGACGATGAGAGTTTTAGGTGCGAAAACCCGAATATGCGTGGAAGGCGCACTCGCAAGCGACAAGTTGGTCTTATACTCTCTGGCTTTCTCACACGCAGCAGTAGCAGCTTCATCGCGACACGTCGGTATAACTCGGTAGAGTGTATACACAAGGAAAACTGAATCTTGGTAGGCGCGCAAGCGCACGAGCATGCAAGTGTGTGCGCGTGTACGCGCATGTTTGCCTTCGTGTGTGCGAGGAAGCGAGGGGTAAGTTGGCTTTGTATATAGCCCATAGGGAGGGTGTTGCGCAAGGCGCGCCCGAGTGTCAACTGCAGCAGTAGCGTAACAGCCGAACGCGACGCCTATAACTATGTATATAATAATATATATAAAGAGAGAAAGAGAGTGAGGTGAATACGCGTGCACGTGGTGCTAGAATGAAAATTCGGAAAGCAGTTTAGGACTAAATCAATTTTCTCGCGTGCTTTGTTTCATTCGTTTTCTCTTCTCCTCTTCTGCAGATTCTCTCTTCTCTTCCTTTCTCTCTTTTCGCACCTATAATGGCTTTTTCGACTGCCCCGTCATACGATGAAGCTTTTTTAGCAGTTTGCTCGCGTCTAAGGGAGATTGAAATAATTTTCAGCTCTTTTGTGTCACTCGATCTATAATATGTATGATAATAGCTTGCAGAAACTGTTGAGAAATTCGCATTATCGAATAGCAATTTGACGGAGACAAATGTACGTTGGAGGGTCGATTCATCGCCGCCTCTTTTAACCCGCTGTTATAGATTTAATTTTAAACGATTTCATTTGTAAATTTAAGGATTTTCACTCAAGGTAAATGGCAATTATAGTCAGTTACTTTTATTTACAATATTTCAACGTTCATTTAAAATTTTGTGAAAATATGCCGATTTAGCATAATTTTACAAAATGATGATGCAGCAAGCAAAAATAGATATGTCAATTACTACTAGAGCATGCAATACAAACATAGCTAAATATTATTTTTTGCGCAACAAATACCGACAGTCTCGAAGAAATTCAATCATCTTTTCCTTCTCTATATAAGCGTGTGCTCAGCCAGTAAAAATCACAGTATATAAGCTAATCGCATTAAGCACCGCTCCGGGACTAGCAATTTCCTTTCACCAGTGCATACGCACAGACTGATATACGTTTTTGCGCTTATATGTACACACACACACACTCATACACGCTCACACTTAAATGGGATCTGTGTATATGTAGAGAGAGAGAGAGAGAGAGAGATAAAGAGAGAGAAAGAATGAGAACAAGCGAGTATAACACAAAAGTAATGGCTAGTCATGAGTATAAACGCGCGCGTGCGATTGACACGCACTCGTTAGGCACAGCAGGCAACGGGCATGCATAGACGGCCGAGTATATATACATATATAGAGCTCGCAACCCTGCGGGGTAGTATGATATCAAGACGGCTGCAAGCTTGCGCTCTCCCACGAGTGCACTATTGTATAATATACGCGTGCCACCCGAGTGTGCTAATATGCAAGGGTAGACTTTATGCTCGTGAAAAGAAGGTGCGTGCACAACGAGTCAGTGATTTTTCATAGTATGCGAATGTCTTGTTTGCTCAATACTGCAACTCCAAAATGAATTAAATCCTCCACATTCCCATGATTTAATCGGCATTAATATTTGATCGCGAAAAATTGTTATGATTGTACTTTAGAAACGAGAATTCCATTTTTTTGCTTTAATAATTATTATTAATTTTTTTTCAGGTAAAAATTTGGTTTCAAAATAGGCGGATGAAGTGGCGCAACAGCAAAGAGCGTGAATTGCTCGCAACGGGTGGATCCCGCGAACAGACCTTGCCGAACAAAAACAATCCTAATCCCGACCTGAGCGACGCAGACGCCGACCGACAACGCATGGATCTGAGCGACGCCAGTCCCCTGACTAGTCCACAGAGACCGGACGATCACAGCGATAATGACGATGACGAAGAGATCAACGTCACGTGATGAATTCGTTGCTACTACTCCGGGCTCTTTTCATAAAGATATATCTTTTCATAAAAAGATGATTCGAAGGATACAAACAATGCATGATCTTTAAGTAACAAAGAAGTTGAAGAATAATCGTGCTCGAATGGAGATATATTTTCAACTTATCATCTGTAAATAATTGTACATTTGTTTTTACCATACAGTATTTCGAAATAGTTTGCTCGATTAGAATTTCTCTTGTTTTCTGGTATGATTGTAACTCCTCTAGAAATAATTGAAAGTCAATCAAACCTTTTCATGGTATGATCGAAAATGTAAAAATTGTAAAAAAAAAGTTTGGTCAACATTGGAATAAAACGCCAAATAAATCGATTAATCTTTAAATACTCATCTCTAACTTAAAAAAGGTATGCATGATCAAACGAATCCAAAGATTCGAGATGACTTTTTGAATAGTATACGAAATATCTGTGATAAGCTGAATATTATTATTCACGTTAGCCGGTAAACGTATGCGAGAGTGTGTGATTAAATAAAACGAAAGTCAGTACAGTAGTTTAAAAAAAATGTTAATAACAAATTGAAAATTGTCGATTTTTAATTCACGATCGATTACATTGACGAATATCACAAATTAAATGCTCAGAAAGATTGGACGGTTGGTGTAAAAAAATCGCCGATTGTTATATCCAGGTAGCGGTAAGTGGAATACTTATTTTGAACTTTTGATCTTTTAGCATTATACGATGCAAGTTAAATTAAATCATAAATAAAACGTGTTGAATCTTTTCTAATGTAAACCAAAGTAATAATGAATATTTGCTATCTATAAACTGTAACATACTGTAATTAATTAATTTACGTATTATTGAACGGTACCAGCCGATATAGGGCTTGCAGAGAATGAATTGAAAGATCGGTCCAAGATCGATCGATCGGTACATTTTAGGAAATTTGGTATTGTAATTATTCTGTAATGTATTTAAGCCAAATATATAATAGTAAAATGTATGTAATATATCATTAAAATAAAACACTCCAAAAAGTAATACAACACTATTTAAGTTTCATTTCATTTTTATTAAAAATCTAAAAACTTAGCATTAAATTTAAGTAGCGTAAAAATTTAGAGATTGCAAAAATAAAAAATCCATAAAAATGGCCATTTAATTTTTCACTCATTATTAACAAATCATACCTTTTGTCGGTACTTTTACTCCTATGTTAAAGGAAGTATACTAATTTGCCGACAAAAAATAAGAAAGGACCTGTATAGAGGCATTGTTTAGTGAATATCAAACCCAAAATTTGTTATAAAACTACATGAAATATGAAGTGTTTACTATTTACATATTTACAATGAAAGAAAACCTAGAGACATGTAAAAATCTATTTAAATAATGGCATGTGAATTACACGTCCTTAATGGATTTATAAACCATGCACCATGACATTTTAAAGTATATAAGTCTTTTGGCCCGATTTAAGGCGTAGTTGGAGCATTTACGACTCTAATTCGATTAATAACTGGCAGAGGTGAGCGCGATGTTACAATATCTAATTCTGAAGTTTCCGTTTCATCAACACCTTGACTTTTGCTCCATTTCTTAAGCCAATCGTTGTCGCTAATCTACAATGATAACTGTATTTTATAATTTGACCGTACTAAATTAAGTTAAAAGATAAAGAAACTTAATGAAAAACTACAAACCTTCTCCTCTGGACGTTTCTGTGGTATTTTCTTTTTATATTTTGCGATCATTTCTTGCAATAATCTTTGAACTTGATGCTTCGCAACTTGTTGAGCATGAGGTCCCAGTTCGCCATTCATAGCCGAATGCAGTACAGCCTAATATAAATATAAAAAATTGTATTAGCTCCAAGCATTAGAATAAATTTTACCTTATTAATACTTGGTACATACCGATCTTCTGTTAGCGGTATCTTTTTGGAGACCAATAGGATCCGTTTCAAATTGCGGACCTAATTCCAGAAGTACTTGAAAGTCTGCGTGCTCACCAAATCTAAAACCGACCCCTAATCTTGAATCGGTACCTGAAATTAAAGTAGTTTTTCTAATTTACTTTTAACTTAAACTTGATTTTAAAAAAATATTATTAAAGTACCTTTTTTAATTGGGGGAATATTTGAGTAAACAAGAGAGAGCAAACTTGGAATTTCTTCTGGGACAATTAAACATGTTGCACCTGAAAATATATTTTTCTTTTTTATTTCATAAATAAATTGAGATTTTTAAAAGACTCTTATTATGTAAAGATATTTTTATTAAATATTTTGAATTAATTCTAGTTATTTAATTTTTGAGGCTAAAACACATTCTGAATGTGAACTTCCGCTGTGAACTTGTTTAAAAAAGCGGTAAATAGCATCTGAGATTGTACGATCCTCTTGAAAATTAAAAAATATTTGCAATTTCATATTTATTAGGCTTATGTGTCATAAAATATGCATACTACAAACTTCATACACATATGCAGCAAATAACATAATATACGTCACCGATATTCGCGAAAGTAAAAACTACTCAACATAATCGAAGAAAAAAGTGGGCGAAGGCCACAGCCTAACGTGTTACAAGATGTCAGAAAAAAAAGTAAGAAGTTCTTTACAAACCCGAGAGATGCTAATTGTACTGTGAAAAATATTTTGCATAAAATATTAATACTAACAGTGTCCAAGGAGGAGAAGCGCAAGACAAGTAATTATCAAGTCAACCCTGTTGAATGGCATCTTGTAAACCGTGTTTTTGTTCCTGCAAATTAACACACTTGCATCATTATTTGCTTCAAAGGATTTTTTTATTTATGATAATAATAATATGAGAGTTTAAGAAAAAGTTTTATCATCTCATTGAAGCGAGTATATAGGTTGATTCAGATGTTGCATTCATGATAATCCTATAAAAGGAGGTTAATCGAAACGCTTAATTAAATCTCTGATGGAGTGCAACAAATGACATGAGCGAGCTCCACGAGTGAAAGTATTATAATCGCCCAATGTTACATCGTTTATAAATTTTTAGAGAGATTTTCAACGAGTTTATAGATTCAACGAAATTTTGATCACTAACAAGAGGATATGAAAGCTGCTAAAAATGCGAGGAACGATTTCAACATTAAAAACATAAACACATTTCTTCTTTATGATGAGTGACTTTCTTAACAAAAATGTTTAGTTGTACTAAACCAAGTTATGTTTAGCTCAAGTTTAAGCCATTATGATTTGATTTAAAAGTTTCAAAAACAGCATTTTTTTATAATTAGGTGATCTAGTTTAGATTTTTTTTAAAGTAGTATACGGCTTGGACAACGTACAGTTTATTTAAAATTAGCTTTAACGGTTTAGTTTGTGTACTTCTTACCAAGTTAAACACTACATTGTCTTTTTTACAAAGTAAAACTTACATTATTAACAAAATTTCACATTTCTTCACTTATAGAATATTTGAATGTAATAAATTTTTGTCGATTTCAACAAATGCTTCGCGTCAAATCAACGATGTTCAAAAAAGAATGCTTTTCGAGTTTCAGAGCGCAAAGAACTGAAGTTACTACAAATATACTTATACTTATGTATGAACTTTCGTTTGAAAGTGAAATCAACTACCTCATATACACATTTATTTTATAATATATAACATCACATCACTTTTCAAAGACCACTTATATCATTTTCCGTCAAATGAACATGAACGCTTTTCATATTTTATGATCCACTGATTATTGCCAAGGACGTTAAACTTTACAATAAATGAAATAAAATTCAAACAGATATAATTTTATTGTAACAAATTTTAAAAAACTGATGAGTACCACGGAAAACTTTTATTGTAAAGTTATTAAATCTTACACTTAAATGTTCCAGCTTAAAACTGCTTTGCTTTTTTAATAATGACGTCTATCGGCTCCGAAAAATATACAATTCGAGTGAAAGGTGCCGATGGAGGTCGACGGACTGTATTGAAGTGGAGTTCCGCAGCTAGTGTATATTCGAGAAGACGACGGGCTCTCACTTTTAATGCCGGTCCCCACTTTGACGATTCATTGTGTATACTTACGGTGTAATAGTTTTGCAAGTACACACACACACACACACACACCTTCATACACGCACACGTACATGCGCATCCTATACGGTTCTGTGTAGTGTCTCTGCCGTGTATGAAATATTTTCATTTTGTTTCTTCCAATTTCAAGAGTGAGCGCAAAAAGCGTGAGTGTAACTTTTTGACTATTCTTTGCAGCATGCGTAACTGCTTCATTTCTGCATTTTTCTATTTGTTTTAGTTAAAACTGTTTAAAAAGTTTGAAATCGCAACAAAGCGCTGCTTGCTTTATTTGAAATGCTTAATACAATGTTTTGGAAGCTTTTGGACCGCTGATTAGAGAAAAGAAACATGGCACAATGGCAAAAGCTAAAAAAAAAACAACACAATGGCAAAAAGCTTCCTCCTAAAAATGTAATTACTCTTATTTTTATGTATGAAATTCAAATGAAATAAGGCATTGCCTAATTTTCTTGGTGCAACTTTTTAAATACGTTGAGAATCCCAATAATACCCAAATAAAATTTCAACTACTTTCCAAAAAAAGAATAGATTTACAATATTTGTAATTTATTTAAAAAATGTTTTCTTCATCGTTATGTAACTTTCGAAATAATAAACAATTCTTACGTTATTTGTTTCAAATTAAAGCTCTACTCCTCTTGTCTAATAATCATCCCCACTTTTTTCAATTATTAGTTCTAACATTAAAAAAAAAAAAAAAATTACTGACAAAAATCGGAAAAATAGAAGCGAACATCTTTTTTATACGAGTTGCAAAGTTAAGCCGGCTTTATATAGTACGTATTCCACGCTCGACCAGACAGTGCACTCGCACGGGGCATTTTTTTATGTATCGTAACTTTTCTAGCTCGTCGCGGCCGGCGCAATTGGGCCTGAAAAAATATTGCGCATATGTATTACGATAGATTTTTGTCCGTTCTTTCCAATAGTGGTATTAGTTTTTCGAAAAAAGTTAATTTTCATAAAGAAAATTGACTTTAAAGTTAACTCAATTTTTCGTTATCAATTCAATATTTCGTTAACTCAATTTTTAAAGTTAACTCAATGTTCGAAGCTGTCTTAATGGAAAGGTAATCTAATAACGAAGGTCTGTATAAAACTTCAAGTTAGAGACTCAAACGGTTCAAAAGTTATGTAAAATTAAGTAACAAAAAACTTGGTTTTACGAACGAATTCTGGACGCGCACAGCCGCTCTCCGCTCAGCCGGTAGGAGAGGGGGTAACAGGAGACAACGAGAATAGACGCGCGAGACCAGAATTCATCCGTAAAACCACGTTTTTCGCTATTTAAGGAGACTGTAGCGATGCAAGGTGGTTCTGTGTTGGAACGCTATATGCGCAAGGCTATATGCGTTAAGCAGCGCACAGCGTTAGCATGGCAGTACATAGGGAAAATGTGTTGGACTCTTAATATCTTTTGAAAATGGTTGGAAACACCCATTTATAATTATATTATTCGAAAGCTGATGAAATTTCCTATAACATATAATAGTTTCATTAACTTCTAAAGTAATTTGAGCTCACAGTACTCTAAAAACTGCCACTTCCCACTTGATTCTATGTAAAATGGACAAAACTTTGAATCCCAATATTTCCCAAGTGTGCATGGAAATCCCAAATTTTTTTTTACCAAAAATCTTGTAATTTCATCTACAATCTAAACTGGAATAGGCAAGTGAACCAGGTGATTGTCCACGCGGTGCTGCGCACTCTTCGGCCCATTCGTCGCGCCCTCAATGTACAGACCCGCAAAGAGCTTATTGAGGCATTCGCCTTCCCTCACTTCGATTATGCATGTGCCATACTAACATATCCCTGCATGTCTCAATAACAGGCTCCAGCGTGCGATGAATGCGTGTACGTTTTGTCATCGATCGCATCGGCTGGCACGACCATGTCACCCCTCATAGATTGAGCCTGGGTTGGCTTTCGGTGTCAGCATGGCGCCGCTACTTTGTAGCGTCCATCGCTCTCGGTTGTCTCTCATTCCAAAACCCTGTCTATCTGCGCTCATCAGCGAGATTACCCCAGCGTTCGCTGATCCTGAGGTTCGCTCGCTTGGGCGCTCTTACGGGGTCATTTGCCATGCGCGACGAGCCTGATAAACAGCATATTTGAGCGCAGGGTCGTCTTCGAACCGCGTCTGTTTTCCACTCTCAGGAGGCATTCTCTTGTTTGGCTTCGAGAGCTGGACGTGCGTGAGTCTGGTTAGGTTCGGCTATGACTCGTGGCTTCACTCTTTCACTTCTAATATCTTCATCCTATTACATTATTATTATTGCTCCTCACTCTCTCCATTAATTCATATCTCATGCCTGGCTGCCTGTTGGCTGACACGATTGAGCTAACCTGTTTAGCTTAAACTGCGCTAATCAGCTCTCAAGTAGAGCTAGTCTTACTGTACTTTATAGAATCATTTTAATTCGTTTGTTCTCATTCTAAGAAATTTTAAAATAAATGTAATTGCCTTTGTGTATCACATCGTGCCAGATGGGGCTTGCCCCGAGGCCTAATAAACAAATCTATACAAATCTATACAAATCTATACAAATCTTCTCAGCCGCGACGCAGCGGCAGCCTCCACCACCGCTGGCGTCGCGGACCGTCCGCGCCGCGCTATATAGTCGGCGCGCCGGGCCGCTGTGGGCATTCGCTCGTGGGCTCTTGAGCCGAGCACATCTCCTGGACCTCCGGAGTAGTGCGACACTCTCGGTTATCCAGAGTCACCAAGACCCAAGCGACGTGTTTTCCCGGATCACCGGAGATCACACACACCTCTCGGACTTCTAGAGATTTTACAACTCCTCGAGTTGTTTAAGGTTGTTTGCTGGATAGGGACAGTTTACTTTAATAAAAGTTAAATTTGTTTCTCTACAGAACAATCTCTTTCCTTATTTTATCCCTCTCACTCCTCCCGCTTCCGCTTCTGCCGCTAGGGGGCCCCGACCGCCATCGTCGTTCTCCACAAGAGACATGTCGCTGCCAGGGCTTAAGTAAGGGACGATCTTTTCGCAAAGTTCCAACTCGTTCTCATCCGAGAGAACTCACTAGTTGAGCTCGGACCTTCAGCTCCAGGTCAGATGAGAGTATTTTCAAAGGACTTGCTCGATGAAATAATAGATGAATCAATTGTCATTAAGCCATTTGAAGGAAAAAATTAAACTGGCGAGGTGGAGAAACACCACCGGCGACCTCCACCCAACCTCAAAGCCACAACTAAGTGGCATCTATGCCGGAGACGACTCTGCGTTCAAGATCTCAATAATCTTGGTTGCAAGAAGATAATCATAATATGGATTATGATGAATCCCACAAGTACTATTATTTTGAAAAAAAATGTAAATTACAAAAATGTTCTTCACAGAAAAATTGCTGTAAATTGGTTGCTTGCCATATCTATAGTCTTGGAGGTATATTGATAATCTTCATGCATGTTGACTAGTTGTTGAGTTTTATTACTCCTAGATGTAAATTTTAAAATTATTTTTCAGAGAGTGAAAGTGATGCTTTTGAGAGCTATAAAAATAGAGACCTTCGACTGAGAATTCAGAGAAAAACTATCATCAAGTAGTTCATCTCAAGCATGCGTTTCTTCTAAACCAGTGAGTCTAATAAATTTGAACATTTTATGAATGTTTATGAAATAGTGCAAACGTTTTTAAAAGTTTTATGATAATTATGTCAAATTCTGGGTACTACAATACTATTGTGTTGTGCAAATTTTACTTTTTAAGTCATTCAATTTCAGATATTAATTGGGCTTTCAATTAATGATTAAAAGTTTGTTATTTACTGAGTCTACTTCAATTTATAATTGGCAATCAATATTGTTTTTTATTGTTTAATGACTTAATTTTTTCAATTAGTGTTTCAAATTCATTATTTCAACAGGTTGATTATCAATCTATAAAAAAAAATGAAGAACATTATAAAAGTTACAAAAGCTTATAAAAGTACTTTGAAGTTTAAAAAAGGTTATAAACAGCTTTTTCCAGCTAGTCGTATTACACTTCGGCAGAACTCAATGCCAGACCGTGTCGTTCCTTCAAATCCAAGCAACAGAGACCACAGATGTACTCTAATACTAACTTATGTATCATTAATGAATTGACGTGTAATAAGTTATCATGTCTGAGATGACATGATAACCAAGTTCAAGGTATATGCATGTAAATATGATAAACAAAAATAATTTGTATTTGAGAAGAAGCTCAGAGGCATTAAAAACCCAAAATTTAATTTAGATAAAAACTCATTATTTTACAGATAAATACAACACAATAAAGTAAATGAATTTTAATTTAGAAAGAAAACGCGTGGAAAAAATAAATACTTACGAAGATTCTCGGTTTGTAAAGAATCTACAACTCGCTATAAAAGCGAGGACAGATCGTGGATCTGCCGATCGATCAGTATTTTTTAATATTTACAAATATTAATTTTCGAGACACTTTTAGTATATAAATTTGATTCTAGGTTAACCCATTAACGCGCAAAAGTGCAATTTTGTGCATGAATTTTCCGTTGTAAGAAAATTATAGATAAAGTTGGAATATTTTCTTGAAAATCCATATCCAGAGGTTTTTGGGTATGCTCTTTCAGTATCCGGTGTTATTTTTGCGATAAATAAACATTATAATCGTTTATTTTGCAATTAAAAACAAAAAACGTGATTTTTTGGCTTGAAATTTTTTTTCAAAGTCGATTTTCTACCTTGCCCTGCTTTCAGAGGGTTCCCATAACACCAGAAATCGTGCACTTTTTCTCTGAACCTTCAAAAAATGCGCTGCCGCGATTTTTATCTAGCCCCTATATTTCTAAAATGGCGAATTTATACCGAGCAGCGATATAAAAATTCCCTCATTTTTTATTTGTAAATTATTGACTTTATAAAAAAAGGTCATACAATGGAAAGTGTTCAAATTTGTTCAAAGAATACATGTGAATTTTTTCAGAATTTTTTCAGAATTTTTTAAGAATTTTTCAGATATTTTTTGGAACATTTTGGATTTTTTCGACAGGCTGGGAAATGGTCGTATTTTGCAAAATTTTCAAAATGGTCTGAAAAACTCTGAAAAAATTCACACGTATTCTCTAAACGATTTCAAATAAGTTTTTACACTCCAAATTGTACTTTTGAGTTCATATTTAGCGCATGTAAAATAGGTTCTGAGTAAAAAATGAGTGAATTTTTATACCGCTGCTCGGTATAAATTCGCCATTTTAAAAATATAGGGGCTAGATAAAAATCGCGGCAGCGCATTTTTTGAAGGTTCAGAGAAAAAGTGTACGATTTCTGGTGTTATGGGAACCCTCTGAAAGCAGGGCAAGGTAGAAAATCGACTTTGAAAAAAAATTTCAAGCCAAAAATCACGTTTTTTGTTTTTAATTGCAAAATAAACGATTATAATGTTTATTTATCGCAAAAATAACACCGGATACTGAAAGAGCATACCCAAAAACCTCTGGATATGGATTTTCAAGAAAATATTCCAACTTTATCTATAATTTTCTTACAACGGAAAATTCATGCACAAAATTGCACCTTTGCGCGTTAATGGGTTAAACAGTTAAAGAAAAACAATAACGGAACAAAATCCAAATTTACTTCTTACTCTCACGAGTTCGTAAAGATCAATGTCGATCTCGATTTTTTCGCGACTTTTTTTTTCTTTTTAAACTACTTGAAATTAGTCGTAGTTCATATCGATTCGAACAATTAATGTCACAGTTATAATCACCGTATAAATAAACAGAGGGTTCTTATTTAATATTTAATCACTGTCAATTTGAACTACACATGAAAATTTAAGAACTTTTAAGATTGTATGAGTCTCTAGCCTGGACTGGAAATCATAGTTGAAGCAATCGCTAATTGATTGTTTTATTTCTACTGGTACTTTGGTTAAATTTGGCTTGCACTTATTAATGAAAAATCGTTCGAGATCACTTCTTGGTGATTTATCCAATTGCCAAACATGATCATTATTGAACAGTTCAACTATAATGAAGCTCAAAGACCACATAACAGTTTATTGAATATGAAACAGTTCAATGGATTTTATGGTTGTACGTTTTGTTACCACCCAACCGAAGCAGTCGACGGTATCCGAAAATACCCCGTAAGCAAGTTTCATCCATATCGGAGTCATGAAGCCATTGTCTGTGACATGCTTGCTACGCATGTACGTGACGAGCGAACAGGTGAAGTAAATATAGAAGTATTATATATACTAGGGGGGCTCCACCCCCCTTATTTTTTCGAGGCTAATTTAAGGTTGCTACAGGCTCAAATAAGACCAAGATTTAACCTAAAATTAAGCTCAAGTAAGAACTTCATTTTCTAACTGTAGCGCCCCCAAAATTATCTTGAACAAAAAACAAACTACATATTTAAACGTAAAATTTTTCGCTCTTTTCAAATCTGAAACAAAAAATTGGGGTTACTAAGTAACAACTCGATTTTTAGTTGCTGCAGCTTTTAGGTTATGTTCTAGGTCAAATTTAAGGTCACCATTGAAAAGAGCGAAAAATTTTACGTTCGAATAGGCCTGTATATTTTTTCCAATATCATTTTTGGGGCGCTACAATAAGAAAATTAAGTTCTTGCTTGAGCTTAATTTTATGTTAAATCAGGGTTTTATTTGAGCCTGTAGCCCCCCTAAAATGGCCTTGAAAAAAAAAACGAAATACAACAAATTTGCAATAAAAAATATGGATTTCCATTTCAAACATCGATTATTGGGTCGCTGTAGCTTTGAGGTTATGTTTAAGGTCAAATCCAAGGTCACCATTGGATTCCCCATAAAAAAATACGTCGGATATGAGGTTTAGATTTTTTTCTTCGCATATTTAGCCCGCTTTTAGGAGGTTTCCATACTTTTGTGACACCCTGTATAATAATGGTTCATAATGAGAGAGATTCATTCGGCGGGATGAGAACCCATGTGCTCCGCCTGTCTCGGGGCGGGTTTTTTCCTGGAGGATGGAGGAGGAGGGTGTAGTGCACATGCACTACGTATACCAGCAGGTTTCCCTTGTCCCACAGGTCTTCGGGTCTGGGTAAATGCAAGATAGTGGGGAGGGGGGTATAGTAGTAATCTCTTCCATTATTATTTAATTAAGGATCAATTACCTATATCACTATCTGAATGAGAGTCCACTACTTCTTCTCTGTCGTATAGCCATCGTGAAGACTGAAATCTTGGTAATCCCAGCAAATTAGAGGCAGCTTCGTACCAGAGAATCGGAGATCTTCGGCTACCAACAGCAAGCGCAGCAGCTCCACCAAGAGTGGCATCCAGTAATTGGGTGACTGAGCTCTAGATAAATCAACAGCCACATCATGGCCAATACGAATGGCAGCTTCGTAGTAATCGCAGCAACAATCGCAGCAGCTCGGCGTTGATGAGGTCCTTGGTGAGCACGCTCTTGGTTAGCACGCCTTCGACGACGTCCAATGCCTATTCAAAAAAGAAAATCATTGCGTTACAATCATAAAAATCCCATCATAAAAAAAACCTTTTCAGCTACACATACGATTACCTTGATTTTGTTCACCCATCGTTATTTTGTGCATATTTAATTATTATTAATAAAATTGCTTACTAATAATTATTATATATAAAAGTACCAATCACGTATCCTGGTTGATTTGCGGTGGATGAGCAGTAAAAACTGTTACCCCACGGTGGAGGAACAGTGGAGGAGCAGTGGGGAGCAGTGGAATTTTTGGGGTGCAGTTACAAAAAAATAAATTAATAATGGTGAAAACCACGCGAAAATCATGCAAAAATCAAGCGATATTCACATTTTTGAAAAAATTGTGGGGGAGCAGATGGAAATTTTGGGGAGCAAGCTAACCACATCTTCTCTACTATATAGTAAGTACACAGTGGGCCTAAAGCTGAGATGGGTTGCATTAAAATGACAACGAAATCTGACTGCATTACTATTTTCTAGGTTGTTCACAGATGTAAAATCCGTTGGAATTGAAATCCTAGCTGATCCTGTTTGTAAAATATAAGTATTTTTCACTTTTTACTCGAAAAATTTGGTTTTTTCATTATGGCCAATAATAGAAGTTTTATTATTTATTCATTAAAATACATATGCACCAACTCAAGACTATTAATAAATTACGTACGATAATTGATATAATTTCCACACCATCTAATGAGATGTATATCGTGGCGCGTTTTTTTCTATGGTATCCCCTGTAGGCCTACTCCATAATTTTACATATTTACATGTGCTGAGAAGAGATCGTAACTACTACTTTTTTTAATGTGTCCGAAAATGTTTCATCTTCGATAAAGTTAATTTTGAATTGCTCCCAATATTTTAAGAATTCGCTGTGAATCGATTCACTAGCTTGTTCTGACCACAGCCCTAAACCATCTTTATTGGAGCACAAAATACCCTGTTTTAAATGATTTTTTTTGTTTATGTAATTGTTTATTCCCAAAATATCGTTTTTACAGCTTAGTATTAAACATATACAGAAAAAAAATACTTTAAATTTTTAATATAAAGATTAGCCGGAATGGTCCTGGCGGATACTCACCGAAATTTGGAATTAAAAATCTTAGAAGCTGGGGATACAAACTAAGATTTTTGTATATAATGGAAAATACTAATACTACCATTACTCTAAAACATCTTATAACTAATAACAATAATAACAATATGTACAAAGTAAGTCTACACAAATAAGGAATGAGACTTTGTTATTAAGTAATACTTAAAATCTTTAAGGATTTGATGGTCGTACCTTGTGAGAGTTCTACAATAGATATATTGGCTACTATCCATTAAATTTAGAATAATTTTTTTTTTAAGTTATTTCTAGGCACATGGTACAACATATGTTTACCTAGCGTGTCCAAAATGACATTATCATCGTCTAACAGTTTAAAGCATTCCGGAGGAATGTAGCCGCTACGTAAGGTGTTTTCGAGGTACTCGTTATTTTGGTAGTAAGGCCCTGTTTTAAATGATCTAAGCTCACGTGTATTTTCAAAGTTTGGGATACTCTTGTGCTCAAAATAGCCTTGCGAAGTTTGATCAAATTTGTATCTAAATCGCTTATATCAGCCCATTGTAAAGAAAAACATGAATCTACAATTTGATTTATTATTTTAAAAGAAACTAAAATAAGTTTTACAAACTGAAAATACAAAGAATTCATAAAAATCTCAAACCCTTTCAAAAATTCTTCAATTGGTAGTTGAGTATGACTCTTAATAGCATCCCATTTAATACTATTTCTATAGGTATACTCGGATACATTGATACAATGCCCAACGAAACCATAATATGATGCTTTGGTACCTTTACTTTTTTAATTTTACTTTAAAAGTTCATACTATTTTTTATAACATGGCCCGGTCTATTACACGCAACCTTTAATACCTTTTTATAAAAATATGACAGTTGAGTCACCGGACAATCCACACAAGATACAACCAGCCGTGTAGGAAAACCAGCCTTATGTGCCTAGTTAATCCATATGCCTTCCCACACGTAGTATTCATCACGCTCATTTGCTTAGCCGAAATGTATTTGTTTCTTGTCCCATTTCTCATCAAGTTGCACATCCGGTTTCTTAACATCTTTGTGGGGTTCGAAGACACTACTTTATATGTTCTTTCATCACTTAGCGGATAAAAGTAATTGCACTGTATTAATTGAGAAACAATAATATTTGGAAAACGTAAAAAATGTGTTAAGTGATGAAAAAACTTATAAAGTAGTGTCTTCGAACGAATCAATGTTGATTTTTGATTTAAATGATTTTAATTCAAAATCAAATTGATTCGTAAATTAAACTGGCTTTAAATTAAAAATTGATTTAAACTTTTACAACCCTGCTCCTGACTTGCTGCCAGTCAGCGGTGTCGCTGCCAACTGGTCTAGGGTCCACGACAGTATTCTTCCACTTTCTGGCCTGGGTCCTCGGGGCAGGCGTCGGAGCGGCGACGCTACTCTTGGTTACCGTTATCGACTTTGACGTCCTGGACGTTAGACCCGGCGAAGTCTCTATCGGGGGAGCCGATTGACCGGTACTGCCTAAGAACCGGCCACCCGTCTTGCCACTTAGGATCTCCTTTTGTCAGCTCATGGGTCATGGCAGACACGGTGGTAGTAGTAACCCTACCACAGGAACCCTTACAAAGTGCTAACATCCGGGTCAGATGTGTCTTGGTTTTTTAATGAGATTGTTACTTCTCCCTCTCCTCCTTCTCTGTCTCTTGGATGACTAAGCTCCGGGATTGGGACTGGCATAACGGAGTATGTGTTTTTTTTTTTTCTACTCCACCCCATTCGGACACTCACCGGTATCCGCCGTTAGGCATTGCTTCGGTGAAGCCGGGGTTAGTTGAGCATTTCTGCTACTTCTGCTAGTCGTTGTTTTCCATACATCCCCCATCCGTCGCATAGTGCTATGCGACGATTAGGGGTTCAGGGACTCATCTACTTTCTGCTTGGTGAACCTCCGATCCTGCACGATGCCATCGTCGATTGTCGTGTCCCCTTTTTCAGAGCCGTCTGCTGCGTGGTCACACATTGCTGGCATCTCATCCTGAGTTGAACATCTTCTTTAGAACTCGCTGTCTAATGCCATCTTGTGAGTGTGGTTTTCGCTTCTGCCGCCGATGGCAAGTGCCCAATTTGCTCTGTCGGCTACATCTTGTGAGTATGGTTCTCGCTTCAGGCGCCATCATGCGCTCCAGCAGAGCCTTGGCTCTCACATCCGGCGCCCTCTTGTGAGTGTGGTTCTCGCTTCCGACTTCATCATGAGAGTGTTGTGCTCTATCTATTGCCAGCCTCGTGAGTCCTCGCCTCAGGCTCCTACTTATGGTTATCCTATCGCTTCCAGCTCGCACAGTGATCGGGGTTTTTTACCACTTCGGAGGCTGATGACATAGCCCGGGTCTTCTTTAAGAGTGGTACCCACTCCACCTCGGGCACGGGCTCGACCACACCAGGCGAAAAAACGAACCTCGTAAATTCGCCAAGTGGGGATCGAACCCACGCCCTACGGCACACCTTGTATCAGCAGGTGTGTTTTTTTTTTTTTTGGATGTATAAATATAATTTATTCAGTAGAAAGAGAAAATAGAGTTTTACATTAGGTAGAAATGTAGCATATTGTTATAGTCAGTACATAGGATATGTACATACATCCACATCAAGTTCCCTTTGTTCCATCCCCGCGGAAACCGCCGTTAGGCATTACTTCACGCTGGTGGAGGGGTTGGCGTTATGCGCTTCGTGAAGGCTTGGTTGGAATGGCGTCTTCTTCCAGCCGCGTCGTCCGGTCATCACCTTCTGTCGGTTTCCTCGTCTCTCAGTCTAGTTACGACTGAGTAGGCGAAGGAAGCAACCGTGAGCCAGTTCGGCTCGCGAGCATGAGCCTGGTGGTATTTTCCGGCGTCATGACCTAGTGGAGCAGGGAGTGAAGTCTCTCTCTTTCTTCGCTGAACCTCGGGCAGTGGTAAAACACGTGCTCCGCATTCTCGATGGATGAGGGGCAGATCGGGCATTGCGCGCTTTGATTGTAGTCGTAGCGTCGGCTATGGTGTTTAAAGAAGCCATGCCCGGTCAAGAGCTGCGTGAGGTGGTAGTTCAGCTCTCCGTGCCTCCTCTCGATCCACACTCTGATTTTCGGGATCAGTCGGTGCGTCCATCGGGCCTTCGTCGACCGGTCCCATGCTTCCTGACACTTGCTTAGCGTTGCCAAGCGTTCCTCGTCCTCTGCGTCCTCTCGGCGGCGCGGCGGCCGTAGAGTCGCGCTCGCTCGTCCACAAGAAGGGCCAGCGGTGGTGTGCCGGCAAGGACATACGTGGCCTCGTAAGAGACATGCGGCCGGCCTCCGATCACACGCAGACAGGCTCGTCGGTGGGCTGACTCCGCCTGGCGAATGTAGGCTCGCTTTTGAGCTGCTGTGCTCCAGATGGGGGCTCCATACAAGAGTATAGAGTCGACGACGTGAGCATATAGCTTGCGTCGGCTGCTTCTGGGCCCACCAGAGTTGGGCATGATCCTCGTAAGGGCACCGATCACACTGGCTGCCTTCGCGCTGACTGTTCGGAGGTGGTGGTCGAACTTCAGCTTGGCGTCGATGTGCAGACCCAGGTAGCGGATGGAGGGGGATG